TTGGGGATGCAGAAGCACAGCAGGCTGCAGGCAGCTCTGGGCCCTTTTCCCATCACTTGATGTGGGTGAAGATGGAGGTGCCAGCTCTGCAAGGAAGATGTGTCAGGAGGAGGGGAGTGAGGGCTGTGGGTTGGGAGGGCCAGGACAGGGCTCACCTGGTGGCTTTCCAGGTGTCCCTGTGGGATGGGACCTCTTCCCACAGGAGCCATGTGGCTTCCAGTCTCTCCTTGCCATGGCAATCCACAAAGCACTGGCCTACAAAGGCTGTGGTGGAGTCTGGCAGGGTTTGAGAGAGGCAGAGGGGGCTGAGAGCTTGCACCTCAAGACAGAGGCACCTGGGCCACCTGATGTTGGCAGACAGACAGACAGACAGACATAGAGACAAACACCACGCAGCACATTCCCTGGACAGAGAGATGGACCTGCCTGCCAGATTGGCCAGATGGGCTGGCTCCACATCACCCGGACAGACAGACGGGCACCAACCCTGCCATGTCCCTCAGACAGACAGATGGACACCCCTGCCACCTTTCCCAGACAGACAGCCCCGCTACCCAGCCCAGACAGGCACCTCTCCCATCACCACGTCCCAGGGCAGAAGCAAGTGTGTGTGGCCAGTCTGTGCCCACAGGCAGAGTTCCTCTGGACATTCTGAGTGCTGGGGGGGACCAGCTGGAGGGCTCCCCACTCCCAGCACGGGCAGGGGATCGCCGGCACTGCTGTACCTGAGAACTGCCAGTGCATGGTGAAGCCGAAGGTGGGGTGTCTCTTGGCACCGGGGTGCTGCTGGGCCCCTTGCAGGGGTGAGCCCAGGATCTGCTTGTTGGTGGCTGTCACAGCAGTGTGGTAGAAGCCCGAGAAGGGGCCAGCTGTGTTCAGGGCCAAGAGGGTCATGTTGGAGCCCAGCTGGTTCCTCCACAGGCCCTGCAGGTCACACTGGGGACCGGGAGTTGTGTGGGTGCCTCAGGCACTGCTGAGCCACGGTCCCCCCTGCAGCCTCACTGAGCAGTGGGATGTGTGTCCCATGGCATGGCCCCTGCATGTGGCAGCTGGGAATGATGGCATGGGCACCAGCTGGGACAGCAATTCCCTCTCCCTGGGCAGGGCAGGGGAGAGCTGGGGGTGCTGGGTACTGCCCTATCCCAGGGGCAGGTGACCAACAGTGCCTACAAGGACAGCACCATCAGAGCTGGCAGCCCCCTTGGTCACACATGCCGCACTGTGGCATGGCATGGCATGGCATGGCATGGTGTGAGAGATGGCACAGGGTGGCACATCAGGGTACATCAAGGCTGCATCAGAGCATTCAGCCCCTCAGGCAGAAATAACATAAACAGTGTGAGCTGGGGTGGCCCAGGACAGCACTGCATGGCACAGTGCAAACATGCAAACCCCCTTCCCCCAGGTCCTGCACCCTCTGCCCCAGGGCAGGCAGAGCATGGCACAGGACAGCATGGCAGAAGAGACTGTGGCACAGCACAGGGCAGCACAGCACAGCACGGCACAACATGGCACCAGAAAGCACAGCAAGAGCAGGCAGCCTCCTTGGCAGCTT